TCTTGTCCAGGGGATTTTTTGGTTGGTAATCCCTTGATAACCTTGTCTATTTCTTCTATTGCTATGTGTCTGTTGAGATTCTTGACATCCTCTGGGGTTAGTCTAGGAAGGAAAAAAAATTTTAATTAAAAAAAAAATGTCCAGAAAAGTATAGTCAAGTTGATTTGATCCAGATGAATGAACAGTATGTAGATTATAATTCAGAGGAAAAACATATATAGATGAGTTATGAAAGAGATTTTGAAAAATAAATAAATGAATAAAAGAAAAGGATTTTGAATAAGAGAATAATCATTGAAAGATATTTTTTTTTCATTAAGAAAGGCCCAATAAGGAATTTACTATAGATTAGGCTTAGAGTTGAAACCAGGAAAGAATCCAACCTGGTCAGACTCCACGTAGTTCTTAAAATTTCTTTTTATTTTCTTGCTTCCTTTTCTTTGTGACTTTCTGGAACCTAGGAATAAAGAACCACAGAAATCAAACGCATGAGGCTGAGTTGGCCCCAGAGAAAGGACCAGCTGCCCAAAGCCTTAAACTACACTGTGCTAGAGACCTTTGAGGAGAGAAGAATTATAGAAAGGTTGTGGGTACAGGAACATTATCTTTGTCAGAGGAAAAACAGAAACAGTAACTCTTCAATAAAGTCCCTACCTGTATATTTACGCATCAGCATTCATATTTATAGATAACAGAAATAAGATCCACAAAAGTAGAAGAATTCACGTTCCAAACCTGTGTTATATCAGCAACCCAATGGCTTTCAACCCCTCTCCTCCTTTTTCCCCTGCAAAACTGAACTTTTCTTTTTTAACCTTTTAGGGAAATCATGTATGAAACCCCAAAATACTGTAGATAAAAGCTAAACGTGAAATCAGAGTAAGGAGACCTGAACCTCAGACAACACAGCATTTTTGTCTATTTCTCATTTGTGTCGGCAAACTTTGAGTCACCTGCATTGAACTGCAGAGTGAGTTATGGCATTCATCATGTTGATATTGCTTAGTGGTAGTGGAAAGTTGCTGGAAGTGTGTACTCAGATATCTTTAGTTTTGTGGTAGCCTAGTCATCCACTTCAGCAAAATGGTGTTAGTAGAGTTGACCATATAAACTTTTTACACTGTGCATGTAATGAACAATTTTTATTGAAAGTACATTTAAAAAAACTTTGTTTTTATCTTGAAGGTTGTAGCAGCCTTGCCTGATGATATGAAACCCAGTCCTAATTCTGATGGTTTTCCCTGGGAATTGTTGATATGTGCATCTATTTTTGGATTTTTTGCTGTTATTCTGTTTGTGTGGAGAAGTTTTCAATCGGTAAGTAGAGCTATTCTAAACGAATTTTTGTTCTATGTTGAAGAAGTAAAGTTTATTTTAAGTGAACAAGTTATGTGTAGCAACTAGAAACTGAGTATAGATTCAAAAGAATTTTTAAGTATAAATATTTAAAATAATTTTTTGTTGACGTGTTCTATACAGATACTAAAACCATACCTTTCTTCCTTTTTGTTTTGTTTGTTTTTTGTTGTGTATGTGTGTTCACTTTTAATTATATATTGAGTATTTGTGAACGTACCACCCAACCTGGCATCTATAACATTGACCGTCACTTTTATTTAGATTGTCATTCCTCATTTCACCCTCTATTCTGGATCCTGTGTTAATCATTTATTTTAAAAAGTTTTGCCCTATCTTCATGTGTATGTGTAGTGGGATTTAATTTTTCAAAACGGGCACCATACTACATATCTTCTTTTGGAACTTTTTTTCTACTTCTTGTATTACTTAGATTCAACCTTATTTTTGGCTGTAGCTATTACTTTTTAGTTTTGACTGTTGATGCCCTTGGTATATCTGGAGTTAATCTGTAGTCTGATGAGAGATTCTGTGTAATTTGTTCCCCCAAGAAATCACCTTTTTTCCCCCTGCTATATTAAATAGTATCTCCTTTCCCCACTAATCTGCCAT